GCCGGGGAGATTTTCGTGCGCCTTCCGTCCACCTCTCTCCCACCGCTGCCCGCCTTTCTCTTTTCCTTCGTTTCTCAAGGGGGTTGCGCGCAGTGCCGTTTGATGGGAGTATGATTTTATTACGGCATTACCGAGCGAGCCAAACCCCGAATTGCTCGGCTTATAGTCCGTATTATCTCACCTAAGAGGGAAAGAAGGGGCGGCGGGGAGTCAGAGGAAGGGGCGGATCGGTGAATGGAGGAGAGGGATACGTCGCACGGAGCACCCACCCCTCGCGCACCCTTCTTCGGTGTAAGGCCGTTGCCTGCATGTACGGGGTGGCGTTTCGAGAACGCCGGCGACGAGGCCGCGGAGGAGGGCGCAGGAGGAGGAGGGAGGGGGGGGGGACGAGCGAGCCACCTATATGCCTTTGTGAGCCTTCATTCGAGGGTTGCATGCTCTCACGTTGCCGCTACCACCACTAACCCCCCTTCCGTGCGTTCGGAAGGCACGCACGCAGGCACGCCAGTTGACATCCCGCTGCCGAAATCGCACGTCCTCGTCGACGGACGCGGGGAGTGGAGTTCCATGCGTCCTGAAAACGCGATCATGTGACGCGCGTGATCTCGCTTAGGAAGAGATCCGCCCGCCGCGAGCTTGCGACGAGCATTTCGCGGGAAAAGCGCGGGGGTGCCGGCTTCTCGCCGGAGCCGAGCGTGTCGCACGCACGCACTGGATAAGTTTAGTTATTCTAGTATCGCGAACTGGATACTTGCCGAGCTGTATGCAATGTCAACGCGAATGAGCGACAGTGATGTCGAAGTAGCTCGCGGTCGCCGAACGGAAACCGCTAATAATCTCACGAGTCGCGCGAAGCTGGACGAGAAATGCTAAAGTGTGATGAGTGATTTGGAATAGTTCGTGAAGATCGAGTAATCGAGTCGGAAATTAGATTACAACTTTCTACGATACTCTCATTCACTCTCGGGAAATGTGATTTTCTAGCATGATCAAGTCGCACGCGCGAGTCTTGAAAGAAATGCGAAGCGTGGCAATATTATCAACGAGTAAATATTTCAGGCAGTGCTAAATCCTAATATCGCCTTAAACCCGTGTGAAGAGATTGCCGATCAATCGCGACAGAGTAAATCGAACGCTATCGGAAGCTCGAAGGTGATCTCCGGCACCCTCTCGTCGATCGACGAGAATCCTCCTGTGAAGTGACAGTCGGTGACGGTCGGTGAGCGAAGCAGCCGTGATATGTTCCCCTCGTCAGCGGCGATGCTGAAAAATCTGCAACAAAGTGCCATGACCTCACCGTTTCTGATGGAGAACCTGCTCCAGAGTAAGGCGTCGCCAGGAACGGATCTCACCAGTCTGACCTTGAACTGGGCGGCGAGTCTGGTGGCGCGGCAGCGCGAGCGAGAATGCGAGGCGAACCTCCGACTCGCTCGCGACAGATCCTCGCCGAACGATCTCGGCCAGGATCATCTGGAGCAGCGGCCGGGCTCGATCGGCGCCCGCGATCGCATGATGATCGATTGCGGCGGCAGGGATCAGCCGAGATCCGGCGGCGGCAGACCCGGCGAGCGGCAGCACGACAGGATGCAGCTCCTTCAGCGCGACAAGGAGGTCCTAGACAACAGGGGCCAGAGCGTGTACGTGGACATGGAGAATGAGAGGATGGAGGGCCCGGTGGTGGTGGACCGGCTGTGCGCGATGGAGAGGCTCTGCAACGAGAGAATCGACAATCGATCCAACTCAGGCGTGGAGTCGTGCAACTCGAACGTCGACGAGGATCCGATTCCGGGCGCGGAGCTGGATGGCGGTCTCCAGCCGGCCGACAGGGACGAGATGGTGCTCGGCGAGCGCGTCTCCGCGATCGAGATAGACAGACGGTACGACCTTGGATGCAGAAACGTCATGCACACGTCCGACGAGATGACGATTGCGTCGGGGGAGAGGGAGACGGCGGTGACGGCGGCGGCGGCGGCAGCGGCGGCAGCGGCGGTCGAGCGTGCCGTCGACAGAATAGGCGAGAGGACCACCGCCTCCTGCTCCTGCGGCGACGAGCAGTGCTCAGGACCGGCGTGCAGGACCATCCAGGAGAAGGAGAAGCCGCAGCTCAAGTTCAGCGTTAGCGCTATACTCGGTGGCAATCACGACAGGAGGCCGCATCCCGGTAATTTCCGTTGATAAACATTTGCCTGACGTAATTGAGTCAATAATTGTCTTGACGTGTTAGCCGATTGATCGGGGCGGAATCGAGCGTTTTAAAACGGGATTTTAAGTTTGCGATTGATTTTTACGGTCCAAACATGAAGATGAAAAATAAAGGTACAGAACGTTTAAAAAAAGAAATATGAACGGACGAGCATTGTGATGATTTATTCACAAATTGCTAACTTGATATTAATTAACGCATTAGCGGCAAAATTCTTATGGCTTATGTAAGAGGAAGAAAAAGTAAAAGGAAACAATAGAAAATACGAGAGAATTGTATTCTAGTAACTCGTTGATCAATACTGACAACTGTTTTGACGTTGTTTGACGAATTGGTCGAATCTTCTATCCAAGATATCTCATGTCTTTTAATAATTAACCTACGTTTAAATTTTACATCAGTGCGCTCTTACAAATAACAAAAAAGAAGACACGTATAGCCCGTAAAGGGACTGCGTGTCCACTTTCTTTTATTATTTTCGACTGATTTTCGCTCATATCGATAAAATGTATTAATGGCCCGGTGATGTGCGTACATCTTATTGCTGGAGCCAGCAATTGTTGATGGCGATCGCAGTTTCCTCCAGTTTTATTGCCGAGGAAGAGTTCCGCGCGGCGATCGGACGACGCTTTACGAAGAGAGAGTGTTGAAACAAAGCTCACCACAAATCAGTGTCGCGAGCAGACTTCTGTCGCCGGTCCCTAAATCTCATCCGCACACCCTCAAGACGAGTCGCGCAGCGTGCGTGCGGGGTGGAGCGCACGAGGCGTCAGCTGGTCCGCCACTTACCTTCACCCCAATATTAAGCCCTTACGATTGGTGCCTATAATATTAGACAAGCGGCAGGATTCAATGATGTATTGCCGGCGCGGCGCTTATCGCGCGGGTTTCCCCCGTTTCGCTCGATCCGAGTATTTGTCGCGAATTTGTTGCAAATTAATGCGATCGGGATTTGAGGTTTTCCAATGCCACACTTGCGCGCGTATTCAGCGGCGGCAGCGGCAACATTTTACGATCATAGCGGAAGTGAAAAGGTATTAATAATAACGTAATGCGAAGCAACATGTCCCTTCGCATTCTAATATCTTGCGAATTAAAGGGCGTTTTAATTAAATATTACTACAAAGCTAATTGGAATAATTGCGGACGGCGAAGTAAGCACTCGCATGGTGTCGCGATAACGAAATTGTTCGCCCCCTTTTCGTCTACTCAATTTTACTTTTCATCTTTTCTCTGGAAAATCTATATGGAAAATGTGATGATTAGACGAGACTTATGAACGACTTTCAAAGCCGATTCGATCGAGGAGCCAATTCTTCCTCGTCGATCGTGAGAAAATTTTATCTTAGACCGTAGTTTTTTCAGGCAAAAATTGCCGCCTCCCCCCGTCATCCGCAGGACGTCTAAACATTCGCAAGGTTTGCGCGTCCGCCGGGCCGGCGGACTCCTCGCATACACGCGCACCGACCAATCTTCGGTCAGCGGCGTCCTCATTGTCACTCTTTCCTCCGTGATGCCGTGAGCGAGAGGCGCCCCCTCCGCACTCATGATTGACACGAGTCGATAAACGCGCGTAGACGTACTAGATGCATAAACTGTACAC